GATAACATAAAAAACGTGATATGTCAAACATGAGAAAATGAATAAGTTTGTGAGAGTAAAACTCAATTACATACCAATTTCCTAAGAGAGCGTCATTTATATTCATTTCTGTCTTTCGAGGGGGATGAGTCCAACAATATCAAATTTTCTTTTGTCAACATCAACAATCAACAATACCAATGAACATTTAGGTCATTCATAGGAATAACTACATGCAGCCATTAAAGAATAAAGATTTATGTAATTGAAGATAATACGTAGATAAAAAAAATGTGAAATTTACAACCTAATCTTATAAAAATACCTTTGTTAAGTAGTCAACTTTGCCCAGTCCAATGCAAGTTGCTGCAACGAGCCACCCATAGAACCAAATTGCAAATCCGGTTTCATTTACAACTCATCCTTTCCGATGTATCAAAAAAAAAAATAATAAGATGTAATTATACATACGGAAAACATGGTTGGCATGAAGCACATAGTTGAATACGGTGCAAAGTGTGTCCTCGTCTACAAGCCAATAGATTAAGAACATGTGTAATTAATAGAGTTAAAAAATCAATACAAAAACAAAGGTATTGAGCTCCACATAATATACATAGATATGCCTAGCTTTCATCTATAAATAATATTCTTAAAGTTTGATCTTCACACATATCTTTTTTAGACCAAACAGTATCACATATGACTAACCTCTTGGTCTACTCAACCTTTTGGCATGAGGACCTTTAGTGTTTTCCTATCTTCGCTCTCATACTTCATCCTAATTAAAATCTCATTCCTATAACAACACCACAGTTCACATTAAAATGCTTTTATATAGACTATTAATTTAAAGCAAATGACATACCCAAGTTTGTTATCATCATCACTCCTAAAAATATATAATATGAAAGCAACTTCTGTTTCTTCCAGATTCATATCAGTTGGGGGATTAAAGGATATAGGGACTCACTACAACAAAATGAATGAATAGGTTAGTAGAAAAAATCACAACTAAAAGCTAAAATACTAGGTAGTTGGAGTGAAATACTTTGATGTACTTTTGGTATAACAAAATGAGTCGAAGTTTTGTCATTAAGAAGCCCATGCAACTTTTCAAAGTTGATGTAGAAATCACTATTGTCGCATTCTTCAAATTTAGAGAATAAATTCTTTTTCATATGAGTCTCATGATGGCTTCTTTCATGTCTTTCTGTTTGTAAGGACTTGTTAGTTTGCATTGGGTTTGAAGGGCAGTCCTAGACATGTTTCGAAATGAATGAAGCATTGGAGGTGTAGGATTGATGGTCAAAACAAGAAGACCCGAAGGATTTATGTGAAAATAAAGGTTGGGATTGTGGGTGATGATCGTGTTGGCCATGTTACTAAATGCAGCTTTAATGTTCTCGAACCCATTGATACACTCAATTGGGTGTTGATGCTTGTGAGGGGCTATCCAGTTCATCTTTCTCAAGTTTATTGACATGGCATAGATTCCTGATCAGGCTTTTGGGAAAACTTCAGCTTAATTAAAATCACAAAACGACAAGGTAAAATAAAGTATAATCAATGAATAAGCATTTTATTATGTAGAAACTAGCAACTGGAATTAATTGGTAATTTTACCTGGAAGAAATATCTATTATTTCTATAGGCGAATGTAGTTTCTGGCTACATATGCCTTGAATGTTGACCTCTTCTACGGATGAAATCCTCATTGCTTGAGTGGATCCCATTTCTAGAAACAGAGATTGGAATACCTTTGGCCTAGCTTGCTTCGTTGTTTTGTTTTTGGGCTGCATAGTTTCCTCCCCTTACGATGTCCTGCCACTGCTGAAGGTTGACGGGTTGTACATGTTTTATTTAACATATATAATCGGTCGAGAAGCTAGATAATGGAATCCTACAAACTTGGCAAACGTGCATACTGGGGGTGTTATTCCCAACTGTCGTCGACTACCAAGTCTTAACTAGTGGAGAGCTAAGCTAATTAAGTCCACCGGACCTAATTAAGTTGGGTATAAGTTTCATATATAGGGGCGGCTTGAACGTTTTGGTGGCCCTAGGCAAAAAATTACTGAATAAAAAATGAAATAAATTGAACAAAAACACCAATACCATCAAATTAAGTAATTTTACTCTTATCTTTCAATCAACACAAGTGAATAGTATTTCATGTATTTATCATCCAATTCATACAATACATCAATATGTATATGGCAATATATCCAATATGATTAATTACGAAGTATTATATTTACCCAATAAATTTCAAAATATAATCATTAATTAATAATCATAGGTTAAGTATTTTTAACTTTACACGTTACACTTTCATTTCAATCATATTTTGCCATTTAGGGATTTGCCTCAAATAGTCAAATCTTAAAAGGTCAAAATGTTTAAATCGACGAACAAAGAACGACGGGAAGGTGAGAAGGCCGACAGGTCTTCCGCAGTTCTGCGGTTGGATGCTACACTATTGCGGCAACTCCTCAATGCTCAATTGTAGACTACTATTTTGCGGCACCTCAATTATCCTCAACCGTGTTCCTTGCTGGACACCTGGACCAAGTATATTGGCTGACTCCACCAATTATTAGATTATGCCAACAGAGTATTGTGTCATCGTTGTCTGTCACTACTGCTTTTGGATGTTCGTTTCTCATCGCTTCCAAAAAAGATTCCAATACCCATGTATATATTTCAGTTGTTTCATTCGAAACCAAAGCACAACCAAATATAGTTGTTTGTAAATGGTGATTACAACCCGAGAAAATAACAAGAGGGTAGTTGTATTTGTTCTTCTTGTATGTAGTGTCAAAAGTAAGAACATCACCAAAACATGAAAAATCATACCTGCTATCTCCATCTTCCCGAAAAAGGTGTTTCAATCTGCCATCACTAGTAGTTGATAATTTGGCATACATCATGTTCATGGTTTGATTTCCTTTGTGGATAACTCAATGCAACAACAACATTCCCATCTTTAATTTCACCTCGTATTTTGCTATCAAAATAGTTATACAAATCTTTTTTTGTAAAACCAACGTTGTTATATCCACCCTTTTGACCCACTGTGTACCCCATTATATGACAAGTTCTAATTCCATGTGAATGCAAGCTATCAATTTGTGCTTTATCTACATCTGTCATTCCACGATAAGCATGTAATAAATGCACAAAATTTAAAGGGATCAACTCATGGTTATGAGCCTCTTAAAGACAAGTCACTATCCAACTTGATGTTTTTAAATTTGTAACGTACACTGAATCTTGCACGACAATTGGTCCGGATGAGAGGTTTATGATCTCTTTTCCTATTTGTCCTTGCCATATGTTTTGGGTTTCATAGACCTTGTCTATTGCATACATAATGTCGTGTGATCACATTTTTGTTATTGTTACCATCAAGATGGTTGCAATGGTGAGTAATTGAAGTGGTGCATGTTGAGGGCGGTGCGTGGTTGCGGCGAGAAAAGATGAGCAAAGCTTTGGCTGGTTTTGGTAAAGCTTTAATTAGCCTTGTACGTAGATGGTGGGTGGCGATTGTTTTGGCTGGCTGTGAGCAAAACTTTAGGCTTATATGTTAATGGAGCTCAAGGTTTATAATTTGAAGGTTTGCAATCAACGAATAAAATATGAAACGTAAAGAATTAAACGATTCAACCTTAATTAAAGTCATGACTTTTATAGAAATCTCAAAACTAGTCATATTCTTGGAATTCAAAAGACCAGTAGTAATATTAGTGCCATTTTTTCATTTATTATCATTATCACAACCAAATAAACTTGATGACTATCAAACATTTGTCTCTACTATTGCAAAAATAAACACACATTCAATTTATACCGGAATGGACAACCATTGTGAATTTGTGGTGCAATTTGTTGTACTTAGAGGCTAGGTTTTCATCTTCTTAATTGATAATTTATGATACAGGAGCATCAAATCTAATATAATCCTATCACTACATTCGACCTAATCAAAATTGATGAGAACCACAAGTGAAAATTTGAGCGACGATAGATAGGAAACATTACCTCCGGGTCAAACAAACTTCAACGACACTAGCAAAATTGGAGAAAAAAATACCTTTGCTTCTGCGTACGTTTGTAGCACATCAACGTCACTTCTTTGTGAGTTTGTTTGCTGCAGTTCAATTGTACTGTCAAAATCAATTGTTTCCTCCGTCTAGTTGTATAATCAAAACAGGGACTGAATGGCAAATAATAGATTCCTAATAGGGTTTTTGTCTACGTGTTTAAATAATTCGTATGTCACACTACTATTGGCCCAACAAGGCAAAGGTACGGTACACTCCTAAAAATAAGAGGTACCGTAGAAATTTCTTTAACTTTATTACCGGTCAATCTTAAAATTCATAAATTGCATTCAATTCGGATGGAGAAAGTACAACTTTTAGTGTCCGTTTGGTAACCCAGTTTTTTGGCTAATCAGATTTATCAATCAACTTTTTCATCAAACACGTAATTTTTAATTTTGAGCGCTGAATTGCGTAATAATAAGAAAAAGTAAGGTTGATGTTATTTTCGTGGTTGTATTGGTTGAAATTACTGTAGATGATCATTTTAGCTATTTTTACATACTCCCTCCATCCCTTAAAGGTTTGCCAAGTTTGACCGACACGTAAAATAATAAATTAAAAACTATGTTGTAGATATTTGTGCAGAGGAGAGAGAAATATAAGAGCCACAAAGTAATTGATTAAAAGGGAAAGCGACAAAGTTTTTGGGACAACAGAAAAAGAAAAGTTGACAAAGTTATAAAGAGATAGAGGGAGTATAATTTTTTCTTTATTTTATTAATAAAATATATTTTGAATAGATTTTTTTAATGAATCAGCAGATTCAGCCACTTCAACCAGAATGTCATAAATTTCGGCCGATTCAGCCGATTTTGGTATTACTAAACGGCCCGTTGGATTGGGCTGCTGGTTGGGCCGATGAGTAATTGCCATGAGAGGATTACTTGCTAGTTACGTCCTCCGGAGCTTCTACGCAATTCACACGGGATTATTTTAGCCGCCGTTAAATATCGGATTTGCGGGTTATTTCTACGTAAATTATTGAAAAATTAAATGTCAAATCGTGAAGAGTGAGTGAATTAAGCGCGCTTTTGCCCACCCCTCATCAGACAACTCTTTTCGCCGGAGAAGGCCGGTGGCCGGGTTTGCCGGTCCGTTTTGGAACATCAATCAATGGCGGTTTTCCCCGCCTCCGCTAATGGTGCGACTAGTAAGGCCGCGAACTCTCTGATTCGTATCCCGCCAATGGTGCCCTTATGCTTATTGCTGCTTTCTGCAGCCACACAACTTTCCGCGCTCATAGGTAACTCCAACCTGCCATTTTCCTATCAAGCTTTGTTTTGTTTTTACTTCCACTCTGCATCGCGCTTAACGTGGTCGGCTGTAACCCGTCTTTGAAAGAAGTTAGGTTATTGTGGTGTTTCTGCAAAATCGCAACTATTAGGATTTCATGTTAGTGTTCTCTTTGAATTGAATGTCGAAGTTATGTTAGATATATTAAGGTTTGAATTGAATGTATTGTTTTTTGAAGCAGTTTTAGTGGTTCAAATAATTCGCAGAGGAAAACTGCCAGGTTGATTTTTTTCTTCCTGAAGGGGCTAGGAGAATAAAGTTGTTAGTTAGGAGTTTTGGTATTGTTGTGTTTTGGTACCTTAACTCTAAAATGAATCAAACCAGTACCACAACCATACATAAATGTCTCAACTTGAGATTTTATTCAAATTTGCGGTCAAAAAATCCTTCATAACGATCAAAATTCAATGTGTAGAGTCACCCTATAGTGATCATATGGACAAAAATAAGGTGAAGTAGACTTTACACATGGAAGTCTGGCCGCCACATGTGATTTTTTGGACGGAAATTTGAATAATACCGCAAGTTGAAACATTTATGTATAGTTAAGGTACTGTTTTTATTCATTTAAGAGTTAAGGTACCAAAATGCAACAATACCAATAATTAAGGTACCATTTATGCATTTCACCCTGTTAATTAGCATGGCCCATTTGCAATGCCATATATAATTCTTTCATACCCAACAAAAATAATTACATTCATTTGTTTCTCATAAAAACTACACACTATAAGCTTCATATTTGGTGAAGCTGTTCTATATGATCTTTTTTGGAAGGATTAGGAACTGCTCTTTCATAACATTTAATGGCCAATTTTAGCATGAGTAATGGGCAATACCAGAAAATTGGCTGGCATGCAAATGTTGTAATGTTGCATGTCCCCCATTTATTGCATGGTAACTTGAAAAGAAATTAAATGATTTTGAGTATAAACTGTATAGTTGTCAATGATGTTTAGTGTTTACCAATGCTTCCTGGTAACGTACTGATACCCCACTTGTATTGCACTATAAATGTTTCTTTGTTTGTTAGTGTTATCATTTATTTTTTCTCTGAGATTACTGATTCTGTTTGATTTTCTATACTTCATGGATTACATATCATAGTATCTCATTTGAATCTCTAATTGGACGCAGAGGTTGATCTAAAACATCCAGTGGTGGATGTCACTCCAATTCCTCTTTCTGGACACTCATCATCTAGAGATGTTGTATCATGCGAACGTGTTTTAGTTTCTGGTGTATCTAGATTGAAACTAGGAAGCTATGCTAGTGCGTACCGTGTCACGTTGATCCCATCTGCAGTTATCCCTGAGAGGTTACATGGCAAGATTCAGATTTGCTCTCACAAGTAAGTTCAATTCTTGGCCCTTATACTCGGCATTTAAAACTAATAAGCTCTTTCTTAATTGGTGTTATTGTTACTACACTTGCTTGGTATTTAGTTCGACTGATAAAATATATTGCAGGAATTCTTCACTTGATTTATGTAAGTGTCAACAAGATGATTGGAAAAGCTTACAAAAAGGGGCATGGAGCTCTGTTATGTCACCTTATGAGGACAGATTAATTGATGTAAAATATGTTGGGGATTTTATGGATTCTGTAACTGTCACCATTGAAGAAGGTAGTATGTCGTTTATGCGAGACCTCTTCTCTTGGTTATGCTCAGCTAACTTACCCTTTTATCTTTTCACAGATCCACAAAATTGGCGTTTGGTGTGTCTTGCTATGGGCATGATTCTATTGTTATTAGCTCCAATTGTCAGCAGTTGGGTCCCCTTCTACTATAGTAGTTCAATGATGATCGGTATTTGCCTTGTTATCATTATCCTCCTTTTCCAGGTACTACTAGCTTTCATTTTCTTTCATGCTGGTTCTTGCCTCTTGGATTGGACAAATGCACACACTCCCCAGTAGCAGTAGCTGTTTTAATAAACAAACACAACACAGTAGCAGTTTCAAAATTTTCAATAAACATTCTCTGTTTTAGAAAGTACTTTTAAACAAACACAACACAAGCCTTCTGGTATAAAATACACAGTGCTCTTAATTACATTCTGCAGTATTCATCCTCTTATTGTTTTCCTTCAATAATATAGGAGATGTCGTGTTAATAGATAATGCAGTGGATGTTTCTTATATAATCTCTTTTATCTTTGTATGTTCCTGGCAATGTGGCTCAATTTTTATTTCTCTTCAATGTTCAGGCAATGAAATTACTACCAACTGGAAGGAAAAATATGTTCTACGTAACTATATATGGATCAATGGTAGTATCCCTTTTTCCACTCTTGAATACGTAGTATTTATTTTCAGGATTTTCAGATTTATCTTAAGTCCATTGATCACAAGTGACAATACCTTTTTTCTGCATTGTTCTGCAGCTTGGAGCTGGATCATTTTTGCTGCATCACTTCTCAATGGTGGTAAACTCCATTCTTTTGAATTTTGGGCTTGATGAGGAGTTGCATAACCCTGTAAGTACAGTGCATTCAATATGACGAATGTTTATTACTAAATTTGTTGTTGCTATAATGCTATCTCCTTACCCGACCTAACTTTTATACTATGATTTTTTGTAATTTTTTAGGTATCTATATTCGTTCTAGTTGGGGTTATCCTATCTGGAGCTGGATTTGGGTATTGGCTTGTGAGGAAGTATGTTGTTTCAGAAAATGGAAATGTGGATACGGGAGTGGCTCAGTTTGTGAAGTGGGCGATCCGGATCATTGGCATCACTTTTGTCTTTCAGGTTTTAATGAAATCTTTATTTGCTGTTTAATGTTTATCCATTTTTTAATAAACAACTGTTTGCTTCCTTTATTAGATGTTCAGAGTATAGGGTACAGTTATTTGATTTCCCTTATGCTAAGAGACAGTATGCTAATGAATTTTTGTTAGCTGGTATGAACTACCCTTCATGGAGGTAATCCACACAGATCTTGCTGTGTACTGCCTTTTCAGACAAGCAGTTTACAAATTTCAATATGAAAATGAAGATGGAATTACAAGAGTACCTTCAGCGTTAATTAAAATGGTAACCTAAAGGGTTTTAGGTGATGTTAAGAGATCCATTTGGGAGAGCGTGCATAGAAAGTAGGCAAAGTAGAAAGTATTATTATGTGTGTAATCCTTAGCTGTGACACACAACTATCAAGGTCTTCTTATGATCATATAATAATACTGGAAATATGGAAGTATTTGAATGTAAGATGGCATTGACAAAACAACAAAAAATATCATTACGTATCTGTCATCTGACTTTCTGTGTAGCTTTACTGTTCGACTGGGATTATAGTATACTTGAAATTAAATTCCTTTATATTACTTCATCCTACCTTAAATAATGTTCATGTTCTGATTTCAGGTCAAAGTGGTTACTTTCACCACACTTAAAAGGTTACACTGTAATTTTGTTTAAAATATGAAAAAAACATTTTTCTAATGTGATTTAATACACTTTTTCAAAATACTAAATCGTTAACAAAAATTTGCAAATAATAATGGCAAAGATGGATGTTGGAGACAGTCGAACCATGAACATTATTTAGGGAAGGAGTGTAATTTATGCCCAAATGTAATGCAATATATTCTGAATGGTCTTTTTGCTCATGCCTTCGTATATGCTTATGTTCAAGTTTGTCTCAGGAGCTTCAGATCTTGCTAAAGACCATTAGACCATAGCTGTTATAACCTATTAACCAATTAACCATATCTCACATAAGGGAATTGGAATTCTAAGCACCATATCTTCTCAGTATGATGTGTATTTATTGCACCAAATGCAATATGTATGTGCAGGATCCATTTTTGTACATTATTGAGAAAAAAACCAACTCTTCATCTTTTTTCTTTCTGTCAGAGCACATTAGATACTCCTCTGGCAATTGTTGTGCTTGGTTTGTGGTGTTTGCTCTGCTCTTGTATGAATTCCATGAGGCAACGCAGAGCAAGGTATCTTTCTATGGCTCTCCATGTATTTAATTGTCTTAAGTATGTATCTTGTTATTGAGTTTTGGACCATCTGACCTTTTGTCTCTGTGCTTGCATGTTTTCATCTTATTCCAGAAATAGGTCTGTGAATGCACGTATAAATAAGCAATTGAACTTGACGCCAAAGCGTGCTGAGTTTTATAAGAAGTCAAAGAGAGCAGGAATTTATGGATCTGCATCTAAAAGCCCAATGAGCTCATCTCCTTGGTCTGGTTCTCCTCTAAGAGGTAGTTACCCTTTGTTCCATTTTTATCTCACAGTTTTTCCTATACTTATATTCAGTGAAACCTTTTTTATTCATTTTAAACTGAGCCCCTTCTGGTTATTGTGTCTTTTGACCTTGTTTGTGATAACCCCGTTACGGTTTAATTTTAAATGAACATTTGTTATGTTAAGGTATATGCTTAAATGATTTTTTAACACAATAAATGAAGTACGAGAAAGCTCTTGATGATAAGTTCCCAATAAAGTATGGATAGAACTGAAAGCGGGTGATATTGGACTTTGCACCACATTTTCAAAACTCTTAGACTTTGCACCGTATATCCCCTAAAATGTCTTTGCCTTTGCACCCCATTCAAGATTTTTTTCTTCATAAAATGTTGTAGATAGGGTGCAAAGTTAAAACGTTTTGAAAATGGGGTGCAAAGTCCAATATCACCCAAAAAGTGGGGTGCAAACTCAAAATTCCCCTTAATGTTAAAAGCACTGAAGAATGGTTTTTTCTGGGATCTGAGGCAAACATATCTTCCATCCCTTATTTTTATGTACTATTCTTCTTTCTAATAAGCCCCAGTCTCCCTGACTAAACCTATGTTTCACATCCCCACTAATCAACTGGAAAACCTCTTTGCAAATGTATTACATTTTGCTTCATAAATATATACCCACTCTGCCCTAGAAAATTTAATGTAAAAAAGAATGTTTTTATTCAGAATTTCCAAAACAAAGAGTTACGAATAGGTCAAATATGATCAATTTAGTCACAACAACAAATAAGACTAGAGTATGATTGATGACATATACTGTACTATCAAGTTATTGACTTGATATAATTCCAACTGAGACGTCCCCAAGGAGTCACTCCCTCCAGATTTATCGTTTCACTTCTTGATTTTTTTTGTGGTTCCGCATAGCTATCTATTTAGTAAATATATACTACTTCCATGGATTAAGAGAGTGAAAATTGTGTAGTGGAGAGTTTTACAGAGAGAGAAATGTATAAGAAGTGCTCTGAGCAGCAATTTTTTGCCAAAAGAGTAAAGAGAAGATTATTTTGGGACGGACGTTAAAGGAAAGTTGTAAGATAATTTAGGGACAGAGGGAGTGGAGTAATAGTATCTTTCGCCTTCATTTAATAAAATAGGGCTCTACATCGGAAAACATGGCAAGAGAATTTAGAAACATAATGTGTTGTACTTCGTATTAGATTTGTCATACAAAAGTTAATAATAAAAACATACTCATGAGTTTATAAATATGATTAATTCTAACAGTATTAGATAAGATGTGATTAGTTTAAGAAACTATTGTTACTATATTATTATGAGTGGTATAGATAACTAAGTGGATTGGTTAATACAACACTGTAAAGTGCCTTCAAGAGAGGAGTAGATTTATGGAACCCTATATGACTCTCTTATGGAGTCATATGGAGTATTGTGGCACCACCATCACTATTCATTTATTTAGTGGAGGACCCCACAAAATAAATGAATGGTGATGATGGTGCCTCAATACCTCATAAGGCTCATATGACTCCATAAGGGTCATATGGGACTCCTTAAAATTTTTTGTAAAGAGAGTGAGGTTGTTGATGAGTTCAATTTTCAATTTCTTGCAGGTTTGGCTCGATCTAATAATAAGAGGGTGGCAAAAAAGGAACCTGCATGCTATTACTCAACCTATCACAAGACGCCTAACAGGAAGAGATTCTCAGCAAGGGAATGGGAGGAGTTCACACAAGAATCCACCAAGTCGGGAATAGCTGAGTTGGCATCTTCACCTGAATTCGCTGATTGGATAATGAAAAACGCTGATAGAGTGAAGGTGGTTCCAGAGGAGAGTTCTGATGAAACGGTCGATAGCAGGTCAGATGATGATAGTGCTGCAGAGAGTTGCAGCGGGGTCAGTTTCTTCAAGTGGCAGCGGTAAAACATGTATATCACCCTATTCTAATAGAGAAAATGAACCAGCTTTTTAGCTTAAGTTGACCTACTGGCAGAGCTTGTAATTAATTACCTTTGTAGGCATGGTTTAATTACATGTGAACAAGAGTACTAATGTTAAAGATACGCAGGCTTTATGCGTCGAGTTATGTTTTGATTTTTTCGGAAACAAGAGTACATAATGGCATTTTACTAGTCTCTTTCTCAATTTGTTTTACTTTTTTTTTCATTGATTCCTTTGCGGCATATGACTACTCGAAGTCGGGGAAAAATCATGCCAACTTATGAAGTGGTGGATTTGGAGAGATGCAGAGAAAAAAATTGCTGTGTGAATGTGTGATGAATAGAGAAATACGATAATGGCGGGAATGGAATCAAGACGATATTACTTCATAACTTGTAATCAAGGGTGAACCCGGTGAGAGACACTGAGACCCAAGTAAAAACCCATCTGTTTAGACGTTTCTATGTTGGTAACAGGCATCAGTCCAAATTGGTTCAGGTTCTTCCAAAATAGGAGTAGATTGTTTTTGGTTTCAGTCCTAGTTTTTTAAAATATGCACAAGAATTGGAAGCGCAACTAATATTAGACTCATAATTGGTCTGGTTAGGGGTAAGTCTGTTAACGAGTCGAGTCAAGCTCATACACCTAGAGACTAGAGTTCAAGTTCAGTTCGATTTGGTAATAGTGGTGTGTTGTTCACGTTTGAGTTCAAGCTACATAACAAATGAAGCTCGTGCTCGACTAATATATATTTAGTGTTTGAGTCGAATGCTTGATAAGCTCGATAAATATGGCCACATGTAGAAGTTTAGCTCATTCTCTGTGCTTGAATTATTCAACAAATACTTGATTCCTTAATTATTATATCTAAATTTATAAAATCATACTAATTGCGTTTACGTATATATTAGGTCCTATCAATTGAGGTTGTTATATAGGTATAAGCTTAAACTGAATCAGGCATACTATACTCGAGGACAACTCGGATATGTACTCGAACTCAAAATTCAACTATGTTCAAACTCAAAATGTGCATAATACAAAACATTCGACACACAGGCTCGTGTTAATTCAAGGCATTTCACAATCCTGCAGCATGAATTCAAAACAAAAGAATGCTGCATAAACAATTTTAGTTTAGAAACATTCATGAAACTAACATTGTTGAAGTGACAACAATGTCATTAAAAGATGGAGAACACACTTGCTCACTTTAAATAAATTCTGTATAAAAATAAATTCCACCTCGTTGTTATGTCATCTTCTGCAATCTCTATAGTAAAGAGTTATTCAGATGAAAGACTTATCAAAAGGCAATGTCATTGCTATCACTCCCTTTTGTGTTATGCACAATCTGTAAAGATTATTGTTTGCTTTTATTCTTCGCTTTCCATGGCTAAAGATAAAAGCATCACAAAAAAAGATGCACCGTGGAAGTGTGGAGTGGAAAATTCTTGGAGGGTGAAAATGCAATAGGCATATATTTTTAATGTGTTTTTTTTTTCTGAAAAATGAAAGTATAGGATATTGGATCTCACAAGTATCCGTTGTTTTTTGTGGGGTTAGTGGTGGAGCCGTTCTCAGTCCGGGCTGGTTCCGATCTCGGACGGGCTGGTCTTTGGATAAATATATGGAGGCCCAAGAGGCCAAGACCAAGACCTCTATTTCCGGTTCCCGACCGGTTCCAGGTCTTATGTTTTTAAATATATTTTTAAATCCTCTATTGTCCTCTCCACCCCCCACCCACACCCCCCTCTATAGTCTCCACCTCTTTTATGCTTTTAAATGGACTCTCAACCTATATGAAATACGTAGTATTCTATAGTGGTTTCATAGCAAAAAAAAAAAAAAAATGGAACGAATCCAGTTTCCATCCCAATCTAAAAAAATGGAGTGCCTAGACCAAGGCATCTTCCGCGCCTGTCTGGTCTCGCCGTCTCGGTCCCGGACCAGAACCTTATTTTCCAGTTCCGGTCCTAATTCAAAATTAGGCGATTTCCACCCCTAAGTGTGGTAATGTATGATGTTCCAAAATATTTGTATATAAGTAACATTTATTACGCATTTTGTTATTATTGTATTTTGGATTGATATATGCTGCACTGTTTTCTGGATGGTGTTGTATATTTATTTTTACACCTTGTCATAAATCATAATGAGTATCATGTCACGAGATATATTTTACATTATAGTAACCCCGTAGTACTCAAGCACACCAAAACTTATAAAATTAAACTATACATATTTACAAACTACATCCAGATTTACATTGAATAAAGCATCAATGCTATTTACTTATAGAAGAATATTAAACAATATAAACTATGAAAGAAGTAGCTGTTTGACCAATTGATGGTAAGTACGCAGTATTATGTAAACTGGAATTAAGGGCGACACCATCTGGTCCCAGTCAAGCTGATTATATGTCCAAAAGTACACCTAGCCATAAAAGTATCCAAGTATATCAGGCTGTGGTTCTAGGGTCAGTTATGCATGAGGTCCAGTTCTTCAGCAAATTTTCCAAAGAAAGAACCGAAACTGATCCGGTTTTGAAAAAAATGGACCCAGTTTGAACTTGTACCATACTGGTTCAGATCTGGAACCAAAAACCGGGTTCCAGTTGAGTTTTTTTACCTGCCCAGTCTAGGTCAAGTTTCGGAACTCTGGCCAGACTCACACCTAGATGGAAATATGGAATACAACTACAGAATGAACAAAAATGGAAGATACACAGACTTTTCCCATGAAAGAAATCAAGGATTGGTTCCAAATCTTCTAGTGGATGAATTCCAATGTTTTTTATTGGCACTGTATCTCCAACTGCTGTTGCTTCCACAAGGTTTTGGGACCCAGTAAATTCATAACGAGCTTTAAGAGCAAACCTGCAGTACTGCAACAGAAGCCAACATAGTATTCATGAAAACAGTACAATCCACGCAAGAAGATGATGCAGTTAATACAACTCCATAAAATACACACATATTAACCACATTCTTATATACTCCCTTTGGCCCCCTTTAATCTTCGTAGTTTCTGTATGGAAGGATGATCTTGGAGGGGTTTGGGATTTGCTTTCCAGGACATGGTCTTTATCACCATATATGGTACTCAGTATATTTCTAAAAACGAGTAAAAGACGATTCCAAAAGCTTTACAATTTGTAATGAAGCTAAGCATTCAATTTTTATTAAATCTCAATTTTCAAATATATACCAAGATAGAGAGTTGAGACTAAGGCCCCCACCACTACAAATAACTCAAAAAATGATCTTACTTAATTTCCTTAATTTCCTTTTTCGTAGTCCTAAAATAATGTTCATGTATAACTTTTGTCAACTAATTTCAAGACAATAATTTTTTTTGTCACCCACCAAATCTGGGATTGAGGTGGCAATGATGATGATCTTTTCTTAAGGAACTAGAAAAGTCTGCAAGTATAAAACTATATAAGCTAATGCGTAAGAGTCCATACCGTTTAAGAGATTATTTGGCTGAAATAGCTAAATCCGCTAACTTTTTGAAAGGAAAAGAGTAACAAAATAAATTTGAGCATAATAAGCAAATCTAAGGCTATTTTTTTGCAAAAAACTAAGGCTACTTATTCATATTATTCTGAAGAATATGCCAATTCGTACTACCAAACAACACTGGAAGGTAAGAGGTTGCAAACTTTGTGTTTGAACTGAATGAAAGGAAAATGTAGAAGGGAGAACAAAGAAAAGATAAAAGAAACAGAGTTCAGAGGAATGATTTTTAGATTGCTCATACCATTAGATCACCACACTTCTAAATGGATGTTTTGAGGACTTCATCTGGACTCTGCACACTTTGGTTGGCAGTAGTTCCCATAAGATATGTTTTCCGTACGAGGATGTTTCCATGTAGGAGGAAGAATAAATGTGTATGGCTGTACATTTCCTGAAATCAACTAAAGTCGGAGCCTCATAAGCCTATAGACTGGACAGGACATAGTAAGCACATTGTTATACTTTTGCAAGTAGCCAACTATAGTGATTTTGAGTCAGAACCGTGCAAGTACAGACTGCTTAGCAAATCACTGATGAAAAGTTGAAAACAATCCATGCTCATCCCTATAGCACAAGGAACTGTGTATGATAATAACTAATTTTTTACACTTAACTGACACTACTAGTTTATGCTACCGGCCCCAACATAGTTAAGATTTAAGTGATGATGGGGATGATTAATTCATATGGCAATGACACCATCTATCTTACCATAAATGGATTTTCATCTCTTGGGTTAAAATTGCTTCTTCGCCTCAACCTTAAGGGCTTGTTTGGAACTCGGAATATTGCTAGGGGAGAAATGTCCAACTTACAAAATTTGGAAATACTAATGAAAAAGTCTAACTCATTATTGGTAAAATTTGGAGAAACGATGCAGAATATATGACTAAAATCCAAAATAATGGCAGCATACAAGTATGTAAGTTCTTATACTAGAGCGGCCATAATAAAAACTTCAGTGACCATGATCATATTCAACTTTTACACTATAGTGCCTTTCAAGATATACTCAAAGTAACTTTAGTTTATTTTTCCACAAGTTATATTTCCGAAATAAAGTAAAAACTTTAAACTTGGAAGGGAATAAATGAGATGGAATATAAAACGTCCAACTCACTATATCTGTAGTTCAAACTCATTTTAATTACTCTATATTTATCTATTTCTAGTATCAAAAGGCTAACTAGTCTAAAAAATGTAAAACTTTTTGAAGCATTTATCATATTTCATTCCTCGCGTTTTCCATGGTAAACCTACCACAAGAAAATAACTTTCGTTAGTATTTTCTTACCTTCCCTAGCAATTCTAGGAAAGTCTTAATTCATGATTAAAATCCTACTTAAATAAGGAGTGTCACAAATAGGCAAATACTTGATACGTTTGTAATTTCCGTGTGTTTATTTACGTTTTTAGTTAGTTTTGGTTGTTTAATATTTCGGAAATTACACACTTTCGGTGTAATAGTTTAGTTTGTTAAATTCTTGTAACTTGTTTAGATTAGGTTTATTCTGAGCTTAAACAGGTCCAAGATCAATCAAATGATCAATGGTGAAGGAAGGTGCAAGAGTACAAGACAAAAAGAAGGAAAAATCCTGATTTTGGTCTATACTCGATCGAGTATATACATATACTCGATCGGGTATCTGGTTGACATTTCAAATCGGATCGGATCCGAAAACAAAGGAACATGCAGGAGAAGATTTTCCCACGTTCGAGTGTCTATACCCGATCGGGTATGCTTATATACTCGATCGGGTATGCATATAAAATCTACTCGAGTATTGATCGAGTATTGACCAAATTCTGATTTCTATACATACTCGATCGAGTATGTATACATACTCGATCGAGTACTCGATCCTGCACCTCAAAAAGCCTATAAATACACCCCATTTCCTTCACTTTTAGATACCAATTCATATACACTCTTAAGCTCAGTTTAGAATAGCATTTCTTTATATTTCTTTTAGCATGTTTAGTCTCCAAATGAGGAGCTAAACTTCCATTTCTTGGTATTGCTCTTGAAGCTTGTTGATTATTAAAGTTGTGAGTTATTTTCTTAACTTCTTTTCCTTGAATATTAATTCTTCCTTTAAATACTATTTCTATATCAATGTTGGGGAGTGTTACTAAGATGACAATTAGTTAACATCTTGACATTGGTTTTAGTAATAGCTATTCCTTCCTCTATGTTAATATCGGGGAGTGTTACTAAGATGACAATTAGTTAACATCTTGATATTTAACTATAGTAGGATTCATTCCCTTTAATATTCTTCCTTGAGTATTAATTAATTCCTATGCATATTTCATATTAATATTTTGAACATTACTTAAAGGATCAACTAGTTTTGTTTCATATATTAATTACTACTAAAAATGATCAACGAACCGATGGTTAATCGTTGATAGTTTCACAAGTAAGTAACTTCGGTTTATTAATGCACGGTCGTGGTTAATAGACTTAAGAGGGATTAATTTTGTTGGTTAAACCGAAACCGTTGTGTTAAGGTTATCAATCTCAATTGATTTCATCAAGGAGTTAAAAGATTAAATGCTACTATCAAGTCGGTATATGGCGTTGTTCTATACTTGACTAATAGTAAGGGTTATTAATGAACGGTCGTTGTTAATAACTATCCTCGATGAATTGGATATACTCCTCGATTGAGTATTCGAGAGGAGATAAGTTATAGATATAACAATGATCGACTAAAATATATCAACAAGTGGAAAGTAGCAATACCAAGTCAATTTTATCTTTGAATTAAATCCCATATAAATCGTTCATCTTCGTGTTTAAATTTAATTAAATCACTCAACAATCAAAACCCCCCTTTACTTACTATTTATATAAAAAGAAAATTATTCCTTTCCCTGTGGATACGAACTCTACTTCACCTATACTACGTATAAGTGTTGTATTGAATATTAATTTGAGTGCACTCACGACAAGTCCACGTCAAATTTGGCGCCGTTGCCGGGGAGAGGCAATTAATTTTTTATTTTATTCTAAGAAAAAAAAATATGGTTCAAGTATAAGGATTTCTATTTCTTCTGAGCTTTGTAGTATATGGTTAAATATCGTTCACTGAACGAAATCACCTACAAATCAAACCCCGAAATAGAACAAACTCTCGAGCGGTTGAAGAATAAATTCTCAAGCTCCGACTCGGGAGAATCATCAAGTGCTAGTTCTCAATCTAGCGAGACTGAAGAGCCAATTACTATGGCTAATGAAACGAGAACATTGAGGGAGCTCACGGCTCCGAATCTAGATCAACAACCCCTATGTATCACTTTTCCAACATTTGATACGGGGGTCACATTTGAGCTAAAATCTGGGCTCATTCATCTACTCCCATCCTTCCATGGCTTACGAGGGGAGGATCCGAACAAACACTTGTCGGAGTTCCACATTGTGTGCACAAGCATGTGCCCCAATGGTGTCTCCGAGGAGCAGATCAAACTGAGAGCATTCCCATTTTCCTTGAAGGACACCGCGAAGGACTGGCTATTCTATCTTCCTTCAGGAAGTATCACTACATGGCCACAAATGAAGAAGGCCTTTCTTGACAGGTACTACCCCGCTTCTATTTCATCATCACTCAAGAAGCAAATAAGCAACATCGAACAAAAAGATGATGAATCCCTATATGAATATTGGGAGAGATTCAAGAAGCTATGTGCAAGTTGCCCCTATCACGGATACACCGAACAAGACCTCATCCTGTACTTCTATGATGGTCTTGTGGATCAAGATCGTCGCATGGTGAATGCGGCGTGTGGAGGGGGCATTGTCAACAAAACCCCTTCGCAAGCAAGAGATCTCATCTCGGAGTTGGCCGAGAACTCCAGACACTATAACGGGCGATCCTCAACTCGAAGAGTTATGGCGGCAGAATCCAACAACGCGTTGGAAAGTCAAGTGAACGGCTTGACCAGTCAAGTGACCGGCTTGACTTCTTTGGTTAAGGATTTCCTTTTAAAATCCAAGACCCAAGAAGTCAAGGTCTGCGGTATCTGTACACAACAAGGGCATCCCACGGACTCATGCCCAACTCTTCAAGAGGACACCACGGAGCAAGTCAACGCTTTGGGGTTCCAAGGCCACCAACAAAGGAGGTATGACCCGTTCTCAAATTCTTACAATCCCGGATTGAGGGATCATCCAAACTTAAGGTATGGAAACCCTCAACAAACCAACCCACCTTCTCAATCGAGTATGTCTACGGAAGACATGATTCGAACTCTTGCTACTACCATGGGCACCTTACAACAAAACGTGGTGCAATTTCAACAAGAAACAAAGTCAAGCATTCAAAATTTGGAAACTCAAGTTAGCCAAATTTCGAATGCTGTAAATCGACTTGAAGCAAGAGATTCGGGTAGGCTCCCGTCCCAAACTGAGCAAAACCCAAGGCAACAAGTCAATGCCATCATGCTAAGGAGTAGCCCGGAATCACAAGCAAAGGAAAGTGAAAAAGAGGAGATTGACCACAAGGAGGAGGAGCCAACGAAGAGAAAATTTCCTCCACTATCATCATATGAACCAATCCCTCCATTCCGTGAGGCGTTGAAAGATACAAGGAAGCTAGAGAGTGATCGGGACATCTATAAGACCTTCGCCGATTGTGAGGTAAATACCCCACTCTTTAAACTAACCCAAAGTGTTCCCCGTTATGCAAAGTTTTTGAAAGAACTATGTGTAATAAAAAGAAAAGATAAATTAAAGGGGAAACCAAAGGTTGAAGTTAGTGAGCATGTCTCGGCCGTCTTTCAAAAAAAAATTTCCAAAAAAATGTGACGACCCGGGCATGTTCACAATTCCTTGCACGATAGGAAACACCACATTTCCTAAGGCCTTACTAGATTTGGGGGCATCTATAAACGTCATTCCTTATTCCGTTTATAAAACCCTACAACTTGGCCCATTACATCAAACCGGTGTAGTGATTCAACTAGCAGATCGTTCTAGTACCTACCCAAAGGGTGTATTAGAGGATGTGCTAGTAGAAGTAGAGAATATGGTTTTTCCCGTCGACTTCTACGTCCTCGAAATGGGGAATGATGACCAAACGGCACCCATCCTCTTGGGAAGACCCTTCTTAAAGACCGCAAAAACAAAAATTGACGTGTCTAGTGGTTCATTAACTTTAGAGTTCAATGACCAAAAAGTAGAGTTCAATATCTTCGACTCTACGAAAAAACAAATTAAAGATCAATCTCTTTGCTCTTTGAATGTTTTTGAACCACCAACGCCAAATGCTTTAATTGAGTCGGGAACAAAGAAGAAAGGTCGGCCTTACTGGAAAAGGCAAAAGAAAAGAAATGAAGGAAGGGATGCTCACGATCCCACATAAAATAAAAATAAAAATAAATAAAACGTCGTGCCACGACGTTAAATAAGGCGCTTCTTGGGAGGCAACCCAAGTCAATTAGTTAGATTTTATTTCCTTTTTGTGTAAATTTGAGAGAAAAGAGAGAGAGGGAACTAATCACATGTTTGTTTTGAAGAAGAAGAAAATGCAGGTTTTGAAGTGTCTGGGGACATACTCGATCGAGTACCATCTCATACTCGGTCGGGTATTGTCTAAAAAGAGGAACCGAAGGCACTACTCGATCGAAGTAGCCATATATTTCTAAAAATGGAGGCATACTCGATCGGGTATATCTCTTTACCCGGTCGAGTATGAACTGAAATAAGAAGAAGAAAAAAATCTGTCTCCAGTACTCGATCGAGTACAGGTGGATACTCGGTCGAGTATAACGGGAAAAACCATTTAATTTAATCCCTGCCTCCAATACTCGATCGAGTATATGTTGATACTCGGTCGAGTATGCTCAGAAAAGCCAGTTTTTCCAGCCCCTGTCTCCGGTACCCGATCGGGTATACAGGGATACTCGATCGGGTACCCCTGCGGATATAACCCCAAATACACCCCAAAACACTTCATCTTCCCCAAAACTCTCAAAAATTTCGAACAACCTCTCCCCCAAACTCCATTTTCAACCCTTCTCTCTACCATATCTCTCTCAATTCTCCACCAAATCAACCCATTCTTCCACCAAAATACTCCCCTTCCTCTCCTCTCCATATCTATACCCAAAAATCCCATTTTCCCCAAACTTCCACCAAATCCCAAAAAACCCTACCCCATTCGAATTTTTGCCTCTTCAAGCTCAAATTCATCAACAATGGCACCAAGGAAGAATAGGGGAGAGAGCTCAATCACCATAGCACCTATCCCGGGTTTTGAAGACATCATTCCCGCCGACGCCGAACACCGAACTAGACTCCTATCAACAACAAAAAGGCAAGTAAAACCTTCCCGTTTTCTTTGCCATGATGCTCTACGAGAATTAGGAGTCTATAAGAGTTGTAGAAAATTCTTTCATGCATTAGATATGGACCGTATTTTCAATATGAAATACAATTCTAATGAACGGATTATCTACGAATTCTTGAGTTCGGTGAAATTTGAAAGTGATGAGGCGGATTTTAGGGATGATAGACTCGAGTTTCGTCTGTTTAACCGAAACTATTCAATAACGAAACTCGAGTTTGCTGAACACTTTGGTATCCCGGTGCCCTACGAGAGAGCCATCTCGGATAACACCATTTTTGGGCACTCCCTATGGACAAAGATGACCGGGGAAGTGAGCTTTAACTCCTCCCAAATGTATATTAGTCATGTCCAACACCCCGTCCTCCGGTTATTCTTGAAATTCTTAGCCAATTGCTTGCTTGGCCGTCCCAACAACCACCACACTAGAATTGGGGACGTTTGTTTGATGTCCGTGGCCCTATTCCGTCGTCACGTGGACTTTAATCTGTGCAATCTCATGTGGGCACATCTGAAAAAAGAAAGCATAGCCAAAGGAGCCATTGTTTTGGGAGGGGTAATTATGCACTTGGCCGGTAAATTCGGGTATACGGATAACTCTCCTATACCCGAATATTGTTTGATGGACATAGGTTGGTTAGGCCGATCAGGCTGCACCTCTTTTTCTCATACAGTGTACATTGGAGACCAACCAAAACACATGTACAACTGGATCATACACGTCCAACCGGTCCAATACTTCCTTTTACCAAACCCCGACACTCCCAAAATCATCTACAGGCCGGAGTTCGAGGTACCCCACTACCTATTCCCTCACGCCCTACCACCACATCTCCAAGAACCACAAGCCCAAGATCTCCCCGAAGACCAACCCGACCAAGAGCCTCAACCCGAGTACCAAGAACCCGAGGTTGCACATCACCACATGCCCGCACCTAACCAAGCTTACCCACCCCCCGATTACTTCCAACAACTTCTTGACGGATTTAATAGAGTTACCAATGAAGTTGGTAAGTATCGAGAGGAACAAAGGGCGGGATTCCAAAGACTCGAGGAACAACGGGCCGAGGACAACCGACGGTATGAAGAGGATCAACGTAGGTTCTATGGACCTATGTACTCATACATGGCTCATCAAGGCCAATTCCATACCATGGCTCAACCACCCCCACCCCCCTCTTGGTATGACCCCACTCAATGGGGTAATTTTGGAGGATCTAGCTGCGGGGGTGGCGGTTTTGATGGCGGGGATGACGGTGGCGATACTCACATGGGCGATGGGAGCTATGGAGGCGGCTTTGGGGGCAGTTACTATGGCGGAGAAGGCGGGCACTAGGGACAGTGCTTCAACTAAGTGTGGGGGAGGAGATTACTCATGGTATGTAATTTCATTTTCTACCTTTTACTATGCATGAATTTCTTTTACTCTTTGTAAACAAAAAAAAAATGGATAAATAAAAGAATTGAAATGCTAGTTAGGTTGAAAACCCAAGAATGGGCAATCTAAGCAAAAATGGCTTATAAAAAAAAAAATTTTGAGTGAGTTTGGAAAGGATGGAAAAACAAAAAGAGATGCTAGGATGAAAACCTGAAAAGGCTCCTAGGCAAAATGAGAGATATGAGAGAAGTATTTGTTGTGTGCAGGAACTCATTTGATCTCTTGAAGAGAAAGAGGAGAAGGCAAAGAAGAAGAGGCAAGAAGATGGAGCATAGAAGATCATAAAACCCAAGAAAAAAAAATGTTGTTTTGTAAAAATCATTTTCTTATTTCTTGGTGATCTTAGTTCCTTTCTTTCTTGAACTCATGGAATGATCTTAAACTGTTTGAAACATTTGACTTTACTCGAGGACGAGTAAAGAAGTAAGTGTGGGGGAGTTGATACGTTTGTAATTTCCGTGTGTTTATTTACGTTTTTAGTTAGTTTTGGTTGTTTAATATTTCGGAAATTACACACTTTCGGTGTAATAGTTTAGTTTGTTAAATTCTTGTAACTTGTTTAGATTAGGTTTATTCTGAGCTTAAACAGGTCCAAGATCAATCAAATGATCAATGGTGAAGGAAGGTGCAAGAGTACAAGACAAAAAGAAGGAAAAATCCTGATTTTGGTCTATACTCGATCGAGTATATACATATACTCGATCGGGTATCTGGTTGACATTTCAAATCGGATCGGATCCGAAAACAAAGAAACATGCAGGAGAAGATTTTCCCACGTTCGAGTGTCTATACCCGATCGGGTATGCTTATATACTCGATCGGGTATGCATATAAAATCTACTCGAGTATTGATCGAGTATTGACCAAATTCTGATTTCTATACATACTCGATCGAGTATGTATACATACTCGATCGAGTACTCGATCCTGCACCTCAAAAAGCCTATAAATACACCCCATTTCCTTCACTTTTAGATACCAATTCATATACACTCTTAAGCTCAGTTTAGAATAGCATTTCTTTATATTTCTTTTAGCATGTTTAGTCTCCAAATGAGGAGCTAAACTTCCATTTCTTGGTATTGCTCTTGAAGCTTGTTGATTATTAAAGTTGTGAGTTATTTTCTTAACTTCTTTTCCTTGAATATTAATTCTTCCTTTAAATACTATTTCTATATCAATGTTGGGGAGTGTTACTAAGATGACAATTAGTTAACATCTTGACATTGGTTTTAGTAATAGCTATTCCTTCCTCTATGTTAATATCGGGGAGTGTTACTAAGATGACAATTAGTTAACATCTTGATATTTAACTATAGTAGGATTCATTCCCTTTAATATTCTTCCTTGAGTATTAATTAATTCCTATGCATATTTCATATTAATATTTTGAACATTACTTAAAGGATCAACTAGTTTTGTTTCATATATTAATTACTACTAAAAATGATCAACGAACCGATGGTTAATCGTTGATAGTTTCACAAGTAAGTAACTTCGGTTTATTAATGCACGGTCGTGGTTAATAGACTTAAGAGGGATTAATTTTGTTGGTTAAACCGAAACCGTTGTGTTAAGGTTATCAATCTCAATTGATTTCATCAAGGAGTTAAAAGATTAAATGCTACTATCAAGTCGGTATATGGCGTTGTTCTATACTTGACTAATAGTAAGGGTTATTAATGAACGGTCGTTGTTAATAACTATCCTCGATGAATTGGATATACTCCTCGATTGAGTATTCGAGAGGAGATAAGTTATAGATAACAATGATCGACTAAAATATATCAACAAGTGGAAAGTAGCAATACCAAGTCAATTTTATCTTTGAATTAAATCCCATATAAATCGTTCATCTTCGTGTTTAAATTTAATTAAATCACTCAACAATCAAAACCCCCCTTTACTTACTATTTATATAAAAAGAAAATTATTCCTTTCCCTGTGGATACGAACTCTACTTCACCTATACTACGTATAAGTGTTGTATTGAATATTAATTTGAGTGCACTCACGACAAGTCCACGTCAATACTCTTGGTAACTAAATATTGGTAGCTTGCAGTCCGGAGTAGACTGTAGAGTACGAATAATGAATTGAAGTTGAACACCACGTTCAATCCGAAGTTAAAGTCTAGCAGGTAGTACTGTAATTACTAATAACCACAACGTTGATGATGTAATTTGAAGAAAAACGATCCAGACTTAAACCAACCATAGCTTATACTGCGAAAATTCGACAATTTAGAATCCAAAGATACAGGTCTATCTCAATTTATAAAAAAGAATAGTCATATGTAGACGAAATGGTAAAGAAACTGAAGAATACGCAGTTAAAAACAGATCGAAATGGTACCGGAAGCAGTGTGAATGGTGGGTTTAGCTTTGTAGACGAGAAAAGAAGGGAGGTAAGATCCAACTTCAACTTCCTTGGGTTTTGTTGGAATGGTGAGCAGAGGCACGAAACTCAGCCCCGCGCTCAACAAATCTCTTCTTGAAACTCCCGGGCTCCGATGGGATTTGATGGAGATGGTGGCGGATGATGAAAACGGTGGCTTCCGATTGGAACTTGAAGAGGCCGTCGTGGAGGACATGGTTGCCGGCGGCCTGGGTATTGCCATCGCCATGTTCGCGTTGTCTACGTGGGTGGGTGTGATAATGGAAAATGAAGTAAAACGTGGGGGTTGTGAGCCGGATTGTTTTGGATGAGGTTTGATGTTATAGCACGACTGCACGAGTGCTCACAAGGATGGATCAAGGATGTTTTTACTTGGACTGCTGGTGTGGTCTGGTCTGATCAGGTCTAGTTTGTTCTGAACCGGTTTGGTCTGATCTGAACTGGTTTGGTCTGGTAAGGTCTGATTTCTTTGTATTTTTATAATTATTCAAGTTTGATCTGAACTGGTCTGGTCTGATCTGGTCTGGGACAAATTACAGTCCAAGTAAAAACATCCTAAAGCGCAAAACGAGTCAACACCTCATGACATATACTCAATACAAATTCAGTTCAAATTCAGTCAAACTTGAAGTGGTTGAACTCAAACCGGCTGGTTAAGCAATTTCTGCTTGGGTCGTGGCTCGCGAGCCATAACATATACTCTCTGTTCTAGGGCGGTTAACGAACAAAGCTTTTATCGAACTATTCGAGTTTGAGTTTGATTTCGAACCTAACGAGCCGAGATTAACGAGCTTTTCGAACCGAACGCGAGCTGAGTTTTAAGTTCGAAAATTTATTCGAGCCGATCCCGAACATAGTAGTATTCGGCTCGGTTTGAACTCGAGCCTATCGAACACCTAAAATTATAACTATAATTTATATATAATCAAAATTTAAATATAATTAGTACGATTTTATGAATTTAAATATGATTATTAACGAACATAATACTTGTCGAATTATTTGAGCACGAGCCTATTAACGAGCATCACCTAAAATTTTAAATCCGACCATATTTATCGAGCGCTCGGTTCGAAGTTCGAACATAGAACGCATATCGAGCCGAACACGAGCCTCATTTGTAAAGCTCACCGAGCTTCGAGCTCGAACCCGAACACCATTAATTACTTATCGAGCCGAACTCAAGCTTTAGGTGTTTGGGCTCGGCTCGTTAACAGTCCTACTCTGTTCCATTAAAATTTGTGGATATTGACTTTCCTTAATCGATGATATTCAAATGAGAAATGGTCGTAAGTAGGACTAGAACTTGTATACTCCCTCCGTCCCAGGGAGAAGTTCCCGGGTTGACTTTCACACATATTTAGGAAATAAAGTTACTGAGGGGTAAATTTACTGTTTGGCACTGTTTCGACAGTGTTTTGCACTGTTTTGCACTGTTTGACACTGTTTTGATGTAGGATAACTTTCCATTTAGGAAAATGGGAACTTTTTGTTGGGACTACCAAAAAAGGAAAGTGGGAACTTTTCCCTGGGAAGGAGGGAGTAATATACATGAACAGCCGAACAGGACCTAAATAAGACTATATTTTTGCGTGCTTTCATATTTACCCCTAACTTATTACGGAGTAATCTGCCTTCTCTTTCATAGTTCCGTGTCGACAAACCCAGTTACCAAGCCAAGCTTCTCTTTCGACTGTGGGAGCGGCTCCTTGGCAGAACAACGGGGGCGGAATACGGATATGGGAAGCTGAATCAGATGAGGCGGGGAGGTGGCGCGGCGGCAGGTCTGAGCTGACGGCAAAAGAGACACGCGATGGACGGCGAGAACGAGGTAATGTAAGATTTTGCAGACCTTGTTGGAAATATGATGATATAAGCATTATTTATTTGGGTCACATTATTGTGTCCTAAGATATAATTGTATTAAATATGGAGAGTAGGCTGATAATACATCAAAGAATAACTTACATATTTGGATTTAAAATTAGAATCCATAGTTGTAAAGATTGTAAAGTGATGTATTAAAGCAATGAATTTATTTGTTCCATATTAGAGGCTAAATCATCTCGTATGATTATTTATAATCATTATATGATAAGGAACACTGTTCAAGTATCATATAAGGTGATGTGACATTTTAATTCTCACTTGTATGTGTGCGGACATATTATAAGTGATGGAATTGATGTCGTAATTCTAGACTCTCTAATTTTGTGAACAATATAATGTAATAGCTAATAGGATTTTTTAAGTTGAATTCAAATTCAAAATGATAATCCTCGATGCTATTAAAGAGATTCATAAACATGGATCCGTTTTGGCCTTAACTCTCATGGTTTAATACGTGCATTTGATTTCCGTTAAAACATCCTGGCGCCTGCTCCTTTAATTTTTTAAGTACGAAGTATACGTTTTGTATACAAAGTACTAAAAGGTGGAGCAAGTCACATTTTTGCATGAGCTATATATACTTCTCACGTAGCATTAGAAAAAAAAAACAAGGCTCTGCACACTCAATATATGAATGATCTTTTTCTTTTGTTGAGTTGAATCATCCGTGACCTTGCTTTTCTTTTCCAAAGAAATACATAGTTTGAGACCATAGTTTTCATAAGTTGTTTAAGCCAACTCTATTAATTGGCAAGTTTGGCAACGGTCGAAGGTTTCAGTCAAGGTAGCTACAAGTCTGGAACGTGGTAGGATTATCCTGGGAGCGAGTTAGCCAGACCCGTCCGAATAGCTATCGGAATACGGGGGCTATCTTTCTTCAAGACCAGTCCGTTCTAACGGGCGATCCTGCGATAAGTTTTTCTCATCTTTTCTCTTTATTCACTTTTATTATTCTAATTATTATTATTATTATTATTTTTTATCTGTTCTTGCATTTGTTGGTTTGTCTGGTGATTTGTACAAACTCGGGATTTTTATCCGGTTAAACTCGCATTCTTAATATCAATTTTCTAACAGACCTTCTGTTTTCCCTGCTCCTCATCATTCTCTCATCTTCTTTTCTGTTGTTGCCGCCACTTTTTCTCTCGCTTCTGCTTCTTCTCATCTGGAAATGCTCTGTTTTTTCTTTCCATGTTTTGTTTGTTCGCTGCTCTGGTATTTCCTTTTTGTCTTGTTTTTCTTTTTTCTATTTTACTTTACCAAATTGTAATTTTGTTTCATTTGTTTTTAATATGAATTAATTTTTATTAGTATTTCATTAATTCATTTAACCATTTACGCATGTAATGTTTGGCTTTAATGTGTCAATGTCATCGGAGATGGAAGCTCGCATTATTATTTCAGGGGTGTTAAGATCTGATTCTTAAAACTGTTTCTGCTCTCTGAAGGAGCTGAGCAGAAGCAGAAGCTGGAGTGTTAGGTGAAAGTGCAGAAGTGATTCTAGTGCTCTAATTTACTCCTAGAATAAGTTTTTTTAGAAGCTGGGGGTGACCAGCTTCTGAAAATTGATTCTGATTTTGCTTCTACTTAAAAAAAGAAGCAAAAGCAGAATCAGTTCCAAACATCCCCTTATTCAAATGTCACATTTAAATATACATTATCATTCATTTTTACAATGATATTGATATTAAAACATTATTGTTGATAAATTATTTTAATAAAGTGTGACATTTTTTTTTGCATTAATGACAATACTTTCAATATTGTTGGGAACTTAACTGGAGTGATAAATTATTCTCACAAGCTGAGATTGGAGAAGCTGCCTGCTTGCTATGTCAAGGTTAGACACAGGAAACAGTCTATCTCTTCCATTACTAATGATCAGGGTCAGCAGATTACCTCACAAGCTGAGGTTAGACAGCTTATTCTCCTTTGGAAGCTGAACTGATGGCAGTAGTTACTGCTACCAAATGGGCGATTCACGAAGGTTTTTCTGGGTTTCAGGTTGAGTTGGATTCGTCTGAGGCGATGCGATACATCCACGATGGCGGGGTTGGCAGATGGTTTTGCGAGGTTACATCGTTGCTGGATCTGTCTGAAGCCAACAGAGTTTCCTTTTTCATCACTTGGAGAGAGGCAAATTGGGTTGCTCACTGTTTAGCGGATCAGAACTTGGCCCAACAGGTTGTTTACTCGCAGATTTGTGCTCTTCCAATTCGGGCTAGGATGCATTATTTTATGGACCTCTTTGGACTACCTACTTTTAGATTTATCTGATTGTTTTGTATTTCTTTTATCCGGTTTCTGTTTGGCTTTTCCTAATGGGTCAGGTCTAGCCCCCCCATTAGTCCTGTATTGCTTTGATGTTTTTAATAATATTCTGGTAAATGTACTCCGGCATTTACCCCACTGATTTTGGTGGTTCACCTTCCGGAGGAAAAAAAAACAAAAAAAAAGACAATACTTTCAATATAATAATAGAATTCACAATGTGAAAGTGACTGATACAATTGTGAAATTCGATTTCATTGTCAATGACATAATACAATAAATAATGACATTGACATTGTCATTATTTGACATTATGACAATTTTCCGACATTTTGATAGTTTTTTGATATTTTAATCTTTTTACACTGGCATGATGATGTTACAATATCTCCATTTGATCAATGAAACAATGTCACTTCTTGACAATGTCACAATATTAATATCTCAATGTCACAATGTAATATACAATGTCATAATATCACAATGTCACAATATCACAATGTCATGTTGGTAATAATAAAAATGTTAATAAATTAAGTCAACATTGGCACATTTTTTATTTTCTTTTTGACTAGTTGTTTTAGTTTTATTTTACTAAAAGATACTCCCTCCGTCCCGAAAAGGTTGACCAAATTTCCTTTTTTGGATGTCCCAAAAAGATTTGTCATTTCTATTTAAAGTAAGAAATATGTGGCTAAAATTAATTCTATCTCCTTTGCACAAATTAAATTTCAACCACACAATTTTTACTTTATTAATCCACATGAAAGTCAACTTTGGCCAACATTTTCGGGACGGAGGGAGTATTAATTTTCAAACAATAACATGATTACATTATCATATAATGACATTGTATATCATTACATTGTCAACAGTATTTTTTCTTCCCTAAAAACAATTTTTTTTCTTCTGTATATACAATTTCACTTTTGATAGCACTGATCGCTGATGTTGTCTTTAACAATGTCGATTTTATTAGGAGTGAGCAATGACATTTTCAGGATAGTCATTGACATTGTGATTATTACAATGTCATTTTTATAGTATTGACATTGTCACTGACACTGTAATTATCATAATATAATGACATTTTTATAGCATTGACATCTTCAAAATTTGCCATAGTGACATTATGACATTTTTGTGACATTGACATTTTT